TGACTGTGCTAATGACAGCTATTTTGTTCTTCCATTCTTATACTTACACTTCGATTGTAACTTCGCGCGAATTCGGTTACGTTCTGTAACCAAGCTTGTATCCTGGCACGATCTCGGTATCCTTTCGATGCCACAAGATCGCCAGCAAATAAACATCGACTTGGTCCATTAATTACCTTCTGGTATTCGGCTTCTCGGGGATTTTATGGAGTCATTTGGAACGAGCTTCCTACGCCTTCTGATCTAATTGGCACGTGTTTCTTGGTAGCGGTGTTCACAGTTAATCTCAACTCGACGCCACGCTACAATTGGTAATCCCAATTCGAATACAACAGCATCAGAGCAACTGCCTGAGTGTGTGTATCTTTTTGTTCTTCGTGACCAGAGTACAATAGCATCTCTCCAGAATCTAACAGTTTTTGTCCAGCTTGGGTCCAACATGTTCCACTTATTCCGAGAGCCGTCAAGTTGTATCTCCTTATTTCCGTAGATAATTGACTGGTCGTTCCAGTCTCCTTTATTATCCGGACATTCCATATATCTATATTAATTGTTGCAGTGGCTGTTAAAATGAGCATCGGCCTCATGACTTCCGAAAAATCTCTGTTTTCATTATCAAATGTAAGAGTTCCCCATGGACGTTGAATAAACGCGACACTTTCAAGATGGTAGTGACGAAATTAAAACATATCAAGTTGAATAATTAACCTTACCAGCACACCGGTTTTTACATATCGAAATTAGTTAAACCTTTTTGAACCAATTAATGATAGACAGGTAGTGTTGTTCTAAAGTTTGGATGTAATTAGTGTATATCTCCACATAATTAGCTTTCATATCGATTGCTTTTAAATCAATATGTATACATGTCATTGATTATATTTACCCGCCTAGATTTATACTTCGCTTGTTCTCTCAAACACGACGTACATATTAAACTGGTGATGACTCATTCACTTATCCATGCACATTTACTTGGTAAACCATATTTTTTTCTTACTATTTCTTCCCTGTCCATCGATCATGTCGTTTAAATAAGCTGTTTAAAACAAATCATTCTCAAATCTTGGTCCCGACTTCTGTTCAAATTTCAAGTCCATTTTCAGCAAATATAAAAAAACATTCCATTAGTCATTCATAATCATCTTGCAACCTAACTGGAGGTGTACTCGACTAAATCACCAAACAATTTCAGCGCAGCAAAACGAAATTGACAAAATAAATAGCATATGAATGAAAGCGATAGCAAAATTAATAGTTGTACCAAGACTAGACATATAATGCCCCCAAGGTATATACTTTTCTGTCGTTGCCGTTAATAACTGTACCTGATTAGCCACTTTTGGTATATGTGAATCCTGAGCAGATTCCCACGTTAGTGCTGGTAAAGTTGAATAGTAGCTAATAGCGAAATTAGGGAGGCACATTTAGTCCTGTTTAGTACTCGTCAGCTGGATGTACCCGGTTCTAATGCTCAAATAGACTGATAACTTGTTGTCGTTAACATAAACAACTGGAAGATATAAACTGTTAAAGCAAAATTTGTGCACATCTCACAAGCACGTTGCCATCGTGACTCAGTAGCTTAGTAGATAATGTTTCGGGCATCTTAAGCGAATATTGGGTTTGAGTCTTGCTTTGAACATCGACACTAGAATACACGTATATGTAGCTGATAAGTCATAAGTAAGAAGAAACACTTTTCCTAGATTTCACTGCTAGCCACTATCCAATTTTACCGAATATCACGGGTGTTATTCGATAAGATTGGATGAAATGCGGAAATCAAATAAATGGAGTTATGGAGGAAACATGAGACTGTTAACTCATATAAGAGAAGAAATAAACAGTAGCATATTAGTGATTATATGTTGTAGTCAATATACCACTCTTAACCTACCAAAGTCACAACTAGTTATCAGATTACATCGGCATTACAACTTTCGTTCATTTTGATAAATTCACAGTTTAAATCTTATATTCTTAGGATTTTTTTGCTGAAATTAAGGGAGGTAAGAATCTCTTACATGTTTTGGTACATAAATGGTGCACGTTGATTTGAAATCACTATATTGATAAGAGATTTAGGATGGTAAAAGTGAGGTAGTCGTTGTTTCAGAATTTTGTGTTGCCTATTCACTGAAGTTTCCTGTGTGAGTATCTAATTTGTTCTGGTTATTTCTGACATTTAATAGAGAATTTGTAAAGTTAATAAAAACGTTTGTTACCAAAAAATACACTGGAATTATAAAAGGAGTAAACTCTAAAAATATCAGAAAATTACCATAAGATTGATACTCATGTCTGTCGACAATCATTAGGGATTTCAAAATAGATTTAACCGTACCAGTCAATAAGGATTTTAGGCGAGACTATAATTTATGGACGAACCAATCAGATTTAGGATAACAGGTCTTGGATTTTGGCGCGAAATTCATTCACTAATTTGTCTAAATAGCGTTTTGGCATTTTAGCTGATATAAATTCGTGTTGAAAACCGTAGATCTACATTTTAACCCTTACTATCAACTGTAAATTATAATCCTTATTTTTCACAGTTTTATAATCTTAATTTAGCCCCAGTAATTAATTGGACATTCTTAAGGTCACTTTAGCGTCGCTCAAAAGTCGTCCATAAATTGTGGTCTCATCCTCACTTCCTTTCGATAGTTTTTTTTTCTAAATAAAATTCAGTATATATTGGCTATAAATCCCAGACCATTTTCTATCTTTCCTTAGATTCCAAGTTTTGGAATTATTTCATACGTTTTACTTGACGAATTTAATCGTTCTCCTCGAAATATATCATCTGTGTTTAACTTTTCTTCTACCATTGACATTGTTTCTACTTCTACTACTCTGGTATTTGTCTGGATAATTTCATTGTAATGTGGGAGAGGGGTTTGATTACTTGAACTATTACATATACATGCTTAGTTCTACGATGAATTACCATAAACACATAAATGTCCATAACTCCGTACTACTTAACAATTCTTGGGCAGTGGTACAACAAAGCGATACAAGTTGTATTTATCAGTAATTTTATATAATAACTATACTGTTAATTTTATTAGTTCCAATCGGTATTTCAAAATTTTTATTGAGTTCATGAACCGATCAACTCAACAATCTGCATAAACCTATACTGATGTATATTTCTAAGTGCTAAATTTAAAATAATGCTGAAGTTTAATTTTGCTGTTTGTATAATTCACTCTCTAGTATCGTATTTGAAAGCAACATTACTTATGTTTGACAAACAGTATTGTATTTAATAGTGAAATATTACTTGAAAGTGGTGAATTCAAAATAACATCCTATTTTATGTATCTCAAAAGTTCATCTATGTTTGTCTGGTGAATAAAACTCAAAATGATCTTTACCGTAGACTGGGAGGGTGTTAAAACATCATCTTAATTAATTTGATCACAGTACATGAAATCACGAATTAATAAAGTGGCAACTCGATTATTTATCTCGAAAGTGGTTTTCATCATAGTGTTTTAAACAATTGGGTGCTTTATAGCTGTTTCATCCTACTATGATATCTTTCTTATCTTGCATGAAATGAAGCATACTATTTACATTTATCACTTTAATCATAACACTTTCGGGCTATTATTTTTAACTCCACTCAGTCATTACTACGGTTTGATCCTTATTCATACTCAGAGGTAAGTAAGTTTGACTTTCAACGTGGTCGAAAACCAACGATGTTAAAATTATACTGTACGAATGACATTCACGGAATTTGGGTGTAGCCAACCAGATAATATTTAATCAGAATATAGCTTTTATGAGTGTTATAATAGAAAAGTGGTAGAACTAAGAGTTTACTAGTCACGGTATTAGAGCTAAATCAGACAACAGTTCACATCACAGTAAACTGGCATTAACGCAACTCCTTAACCTTGATACTCCTGAATCCAAACACTCCTAACCCTAAAATGCTGACCTTAGCAATTTATTCCACAAGAAAAGCATCGTCTAGTCATTTCAAAATATGAAATAAAACCAAAACATGATTTCAATCAACAAACTACCCTCAATAACATTTTAGATTAGCGCTGATATTTAATATCGGTTATCTTAGTTTTCTTGGTATACTACAGTGCTACCCTAATGATGTTATGATATGGCACAACAAAATTGAATACATAATTATTGAAAATAACTGTATACAAGTATTAATTCATATGACTACAACATATTTTCAAAATAACATAAAATTCTATCCAGAACTAGAATGAGATCTGCCCTATTAATTTAATAAAGTGCAACCAATTATTACAACTAATAGTTGTGCAACACATTAGAATTCAAGGGGTGATTTTTCATAAATCCTTACTTCTTATTGGAAATTCTTGCTAAGACACTTGATTATAAGAAAATCCCTTTAAACTTAAATTTTGCTGGCAGTTTTGGGAAGATATGAGTTACTCAATTTAGTACTTGATAACAGATCAGTCAGTTAACGAAATCTATCCTCACATTGAATCAGTGTCCAAGTGACACGATCGTACAAAATAATGTTTTAATATTCATGAATTATTAAATTTTTAATGGTAATTTTAAATAAGACTAGTCATTAACGATGAGACCATAACTTACGAAGGGACTTTGACCGATGCTAAAGTGACTTCGTGAAAATTCATCTATTCACTAGGGACAAAAGATGGTTCTAGATTATTATAAGGATTTAGAATTTAGAGTTAGACGTTGGGGTGGAAATTTAGAGTTAGGGTTTTCATCTCGAACTGACACCGTGTTTAATACCACAAATGCTATTTAACTATATGGACGAATGAATTTCACCCCGAAATCAAAGACCTGTTATGTTTAATTTGATTGGCTTGTCCATAAATTATAGTCTCGCGATTATCAATGATATTTAGTTTTCAACTGTTAAAACCTGTCTGTTAACACACTGTCTTTGTTTGTACCATTGCCATACATTTGAACATATTCAATAGTACGTTTTACGCATTCTGTTTCAGTTTTATTGACTCAAAGCCGTTGTCAATGACTACCAGATTAACATCACGAAAAGAAGGTGGATTATTCGTATATTTATTTTTATGCTTCAACACTATTCACTCATTTATGACAATATTTTTATTCTTTATAACAAAGATCATTTGTTCATTAAATTTTTTTCATTGTTCTTATTATCATTATTTGTTATCGACTGATACCAGTTTTGTTAAGTGATATTGTTTACTTACTTTCTATTGGTCATTAACGATACTTCTTAAATTTAAATAAACAATGAACGTTGTAAACATATTCAAAATGAATAAAACAAAAGCATTAATGTTCTTTTCTCTCGAAGTATTATCATACTATTGTTTGAACATAGAGCAAATATACTGTGGTGTGTGCTACTTATGTCGACATAAATAGTATACAACATTAGTCAGGAATAGAATATCTGGCATCAGAAGATCGAGGAAGAAAGGACGGAAACGGAAATCAAGTGGTTTGGAAATGCAGGAACAATGAAGTCTGAAACAATGAACATTTTGCAAATGAATATTTACTATATGGTTCTCAAATTTTACTAAGACATTCTGTAATTTTGTACTAAAGTTCATTTAGTTGTCACCACTCGTGTTCTTGTTCACTACAATACAACAATATATTGTCAAAACTAAATAATGAAATACTATTGATGATTATTTCCTAAAGATTTGTGATTTTACGATGTTGTTAATCAAAAGTGAATTTTGATGAGACTTCGTAAGCAAATGTTCGTCATTAGCGGATATCTCGTTATTGCATGTAGTTATAAGTTTTTGTGATAATATTAGATTGTGCATAACAGTGGAATACAGGAAATAAGTTTTTTCCCATTTAGACTCGTCATCTCGATGTAACTGAATCTCGCTTTTGATGCCCAGATTGCAAATAGAACAAAAAACGGAAATCTTCATAGGTGATAAATGTTATACCTGTTGAAAAAGCTGCTAACCATCTAGACCTAGAAGCTTAGTAAATGATGTGTTGGCATCCAAGGAGATGAGAACTGGATTTAACTTTCAGTGTTAACAACAACTTGGGGACATAGGTACATTCAAAGGACAATTATTCTGGTGCTTTCAATAAGAATGTGTTAAGTAAATCCTAAATTTTGTCTAATAATCTACAATGAAATGCGAATCGAGTTTTTTTTCTGCATTTACCACAGATACTTCTCATAACATAGATTTCATCTCTAAAATCCTGTTGGGTTTTGAGCCATAGTACGACCTTCTTAACTGAACAGATCGATATATGATAGATATTTAAAAATAGTTTCCATTTTAATAACCTTTTTACTCAGTTTTGTATTAGAGATAAGTTGTTAACAGTTTCATAGGTTTCCTTAACAGTAATATATATCAGTTCTTCAATATGATTAAAAGGAAGTTAGTGAAGTGATCGATTATCGGTTACACGGAGAGTAGACCTGTTTTTATTATGCTGCTTCTCGAAATCCTCAAAAATAAATACTGGATTTTCTGCATGATCCATTTTGAAATATTCATAATTTTTTTATAAAAACCAAGACGAAATAGATAGTATAATGAATAGCATCAAATAACTATTTATTCTGTTCATACTCAAGAAACAATAAACTACACTGTAGCTTTTCAATATTGTCAAATCCAACTTGGGCCAATGAAACATAGATTAAAATAGAACTTTAGGCCAACTAATTCTGTCAAATGTGAATAGGATAACTTGTAACCTAAAAGATTTCTTTCAATAGTGACGGATTTTTCGTAAAATTCTGAAACAAACTAGAAAAATGAACTCAGTTAATTTGTACTGATTCTAAAGATCCAACATTAGGAATAAATAATAAATGGCACGGAATTTTAGTTCTTGATTCTGTAAAGTATGAAACTAAACTATTTCCTGGTTTATTTAACGTACCTACTTTAGTTAATTTAATATTCTGTCAAGGTATTTCTTGATGAGTACAGACTACGTCAATAGTGCGCAAACAGGAAAGTTGTAAGCTTTTTGATATTATTTGATTAACTATTGTTGTTAACCTATGTAAACTATTTCAGTTTGTCTGTGCCATATTTACTCACTTTGTATATACTTGAACAATAAATACCATGTTTATCTGTATGCTGATTGTAAATATACACACGTTTCCTGTCTTTTTCGATTCATTTTCCGCCAAGTACGCTTGGTAGTTCGCCATCATCTTACAGGTTGTGTGAAATATAAGTTTGTATAAACCTGGGTAATCAGCTCTTTATTCTACGCTACTTGAGGCTAGGTGGATTAAAAGTATCTTCGTCAAAAATGAATTGAGAGATAACATTGGACAGTTATCTCTGCAGACACGTTCAGATTAAACCTGCACTTTCTGAGTCTTTGTTTTATTTTCAGAGGTTAATTCATCCTCTGAATTCATCCATTCATGCTTAAACTACTGTTTAGTACTATTGAAAAAATACTGATTTATTCAGTGAACAGTGAGTGTTTTATTCAAAGAAATAAATAAACTATGTTTTTGAATACAGTGACATCTAAATACACTTTTTATTTTGTAATGAAGTTCAGATATGATCTGACATTTATAATCATATCCGCATCTAATTTCCAGAATCTTATGATGAAATGAATATGAATACTTGAAATCTATAATGCGTTAACAGATTTTTATTATTGTTTTTCTATAAAATTAATGTCTTTTAAACCTTGCTTTTTTATTCTCTATAGAAACTTTCAAATTCCAGATTGCGAACATGATGACAGATATTGCTAATTCTACCACAGTTTTGTAAACTTAGTGTAGATTCGAATTCTGTTTGAATGACGCTCTGCTAATTAGTTTATATAGTTGATTATCGAATAGGAAATACACAACATAAAGAATATATTACTGCAAATTACATAGAAACTGACAATTGACTAATGTTTATTGCGTTCTTATTATTGAATACACATATCTTCACAGTTTTATTCAGCTTAAAGTTTAGATATGATACTTTTCTACTCAAATTTTCTGAAATTTTTCAAAGAAATAATTCATTAGTAAATTGATAGAATGAATAAATCAATTATGTTAGAAAGACAAAAGAAAACAGATTACTGGACACTAGTTTTATTCTACTATTTAAAATTATCAATAATATATGCTCATAAAAACGTTTTAGATGTATGTACAAGTAGTATTTCGAAATTTTTTGTCTGTTAAACAGTTTACTGTAATTATTGTATGCGTGATACTAGATATATTTACGGTTTCTATAGTTAAAGGATTTAAACATAATCAATCACTTCAAGTGTTTATTTTATTCGACATTTTATAATGCCTATTCATTTTCAGTTCACTTTTCCAACACATCGGCTTTTCAGGGAAACCTGGACTGTATTTAAGTCAGTTGAAAGTAATCGATAAGAGATCCTAGACCAGAATAGTATTCATTAATAAGTTTTATCACGAATGCTAAAGCAGGTTATATATATATATATATATATATATATATATATATAAGAAGGAGATCACAATGAATATTACCCAATGTTATGCACCCATCAATGATAGCAACGACGAAATTAAAGATCAATTCTACGAGCGGCTGCAATCAATCATAGAGAAGTGCTCAAGAAAGGACCTCACCATTCTGATGGGAGATCTAAACGCCAAAGTTGGAATAGACAACACCGGATATGAAGAAATTATGGGACGACATGGACTGGGTGAGAAAAACGAAAATGGGGAAAGATTTGCAAATCTGTGTGCATTCAACAAATTGGTCATAGGAGGCACAATATTTCCACACAAACGTATACACAAAGCTACATGGATCTCACCGGACCACACTACAGAGAACCAAATAGATCACATTTGCATCAATAAAAAGTTCCGGAGGACAGTGGAAAATGTGAGAACCAGGAGAAGAGCTGCCATAGCTTCAGATCATCACCTAGTTGTGGCCAATTTTAAAATGAAGCTAAAGAAGAACCTGACAGCTGAATAAACAGCACTACAAAGGTTCAATACAGCCTTCCTTCGAGATACTGACAAACTCAATGAATTCAAGATGGCTCTCAACAGCAGGTTTCAAGCCTTACAGGATCTACTGAAGGAAGAAAAAACTACTATGGAGGACAACTGGAAAGGTATCAAAGAAGCATTGACTTCAACATGTCAAGAGGTTCTGGGTCTAAAGAAGCACCATCATAGGGAATGAATCTCTATAGAAACACTGGACAAGATCAAAGAAAGGAAGAACAGGAAGAGAGCAATTAACAACAGCCGAACACGAGCAGAGAAAATCCAAGCACAAGCTGAATACATAGAATCAAACAAGCAAGTGAAGAAGAGCATTAAAGCCGACAAGGAGAAATACGTGGAAGAACTAGCAACGACGACGGAAAAAGCTGCAAGGGAAGGAAATATGAAACAGCTTCATGATACAACGAAGAAACTAGCAGGGAAATACAGTAAACCAGAGAGACCGGTCAAAGGCAAAGAAAGCAAGCCAATCACTGAAATTCAACAACAGCGGAACAGATGGGTAAAATACTTCGAGGAACTCCTGAATAGGCCGGCTCCAATGAATCCACCGGACATCGATGAAGCACACACAGATCTTCCTATAGATGTCAATCCACCAACGACGGAAGAAATCAGAATGACCATCAGACAAATCAGGAGCGGGAAAGCAGCAGGGCCCGACAATATACTAGCTGAAGCACTGAAGTCAGGCATCGAAGTAACTACAAACATGCTTCACCTTCTATTCAAAAAGATTTGGGAGGAGGAGCAAGTGCCGATGGACTGGAGAGAAGAACACCTCATCAAGATTCCGAAGAAAGGAGACCTGAACAAATGTGAAACTACAGAGGCATTACACTACTGTCAGTACCAGGGAAAGTCTTTAACAGAGTGTTGCTGACCCAGAAGTAAATGCAGTAGACGCCCAACTTCGAGATCAACAAGCTGGATTCCGTAAGGATCGGTCATGAACAGACCAAATTGCAACACTACGGATCATCGTTGGACAATCAGTTGAGTGGAACTCGTCACTGTACCTCAACTTCATTGATTATGAAAAGGTCCTTGACAGTGTAGATAGGAGAACGTAATGGAAACTTCTTCGACACTACGGAGTCCCTGAGAAGAGTGTCAACATTATCCGGAACTCATATGATGGACCATAGCGCAAGGTCGTGGATGGAGGACAGCTGAAAGACGCATTCCTAGTAAGGACCGGAGGCAGACAAGGCTGTTTACTCTCTCCCTTCCAATTATGAAACCAGTCTAGTTCGATCATCACGAGCACTCATCGATTGTTAGATTATTATTGAAGCAAGCATTTTAGATAACACATCGAGCAAACGGATTCCTCTATGATCGTCACTAGAGAATGCTTATCCTCTCTCCTGAAATCGGATGATCAACAATCGAACCTGGAACAGTTGACACTTATTCACATACATTCCCTTCTCCAATTAACATTACTCATTCCATTGATCATCAGTCATTTTCACCTATCACGTTACCACGTGCAGTCTTGTGAAGTCAGTTCACGTGCTCCATTGCAAATCA